CAGTGGCGGCAGCAGCAGCAGGAGGGAGTGGGCCCTTGGGGTGCTCATAGTCCGTGCAGGTGGACCCCTGCGGCGGTGCCCAGCTCCAGCCAGCTCGGGAAGCTGCATGGGGCAGCAGGGAAATAGGCCAGGCTGGCCCAGTTTCATCGTGCAGCTCTAGTGCAGCTCATGGGGTTGGGGGGGGCTTTTCCGAGGGGTGCCTTGAGTCTAAAAAGGTTGAGAACCACTGGGCTAGGAGTTAATGCAAATCACCCAAAAAGCAAAAAACCTATATTTGAGGCCCTACTTAGTCTCACAGGGCTGTAGTAAAAGATCTAGTTGTGAGAGGCCTAGGGTCACACTGGAAATCTGTGGCAGAGGAAGGGCTGCCCCTCTTGTTCTGGATTCAAACCTTGGCCACTTGACCACCCTCCCTCCAGACCTCACTCCCAGGCTTAGACAAGCCACATCTCTGGCAGTGATTTAAAACACAGCTTTGATGTCATGCAGGCAAGCCCCAAACTTCCTGCCCGATGTCTAGGCTGGTAAGGCTCTGAGCTTGGAGGGCACCCCCTGGCCCAACCTTAATGCAACCAGGATCTACATTAAAAAAGGCCCTGGCAGGCACAGCGCTGCCTCGCTTTCTGCCTGAATGTCTCCTCCAAGGTATTTGGACTGCAGTTTCCCGTGGCCTAGTTACCCAATGGCCTCTAAAATTTTACTCGTTACCTTCCAAGCTTAAAAGGGGAAAAGAAAGAGATATACACACAAAGCCACTCCAGTGACCACAAGCCTGTCATGGTCTTTCCAAGTTTTTTTTTTCCTTCCTATTTTTTAGCTCCTTCCTTAAAAATTCTATTTAAAGGAAGAGCGGTCCGAAACCTAAAGGTTTCAAAGGAAAAGGGTTGGCATGAACGTAGGTTCAACCCGCAGCAAGTTAGAAGCAAAATGGGAACAAAAACCAAAAAAAGAGAAAAAACCACAGCAAAAGCCAAAGACGTCTCAGTCACCACAACTCATACGGCCGGCTTGGAGGAAAGGACCCGGCTGCTTATGCCTAGAACTTGTTCTGCCGACGGGATCACACCCTCCGGATATGGCCAAAATGGGGCTCCACTGCCCTCTTCCCCCACTCCTCCTTTCCCAGTGGAGCTGGGGGAGAAACAGCAGCGCTCGCTGGTTTAGATTAGAAGCATTGGAAAATGGAAAAAGTCCTTCCAAACGAGGTGAATCATAATCTTATGCAGA